CGGGGGGAAAGACGGGGTGGCCATCTCTAAGCAGAGTTAGGGCATCACGATGTACGGCAAGGAGGCTTCCCCTTTGAAATGTACTGCAAAGGAGGATATTCCTGTGTCCGGAGCAGCGGATATTAAGAGAGGCCGGGAGGTGAGGGAAGGGGGGAAGGCCCCGCCGGGCTGTGTGTTTCGTGTCATCTCCCCCCTTCTGCCACCTTTTCCCAACTTACTTCCTTTCCATCCCGTCCCGGCCCCATGAAGGCCTTGAAGCTGCGGGACGAGCAGTACCAATTGATTTGGCCACGTCGAGCTGAGTTCGTACGCATGGTGAGGAACCCGTGATGGGGAAACCCGTCGTACACATACCCGTAACCCCACCCCCACCTCGCAACGCCCCACCCCGGGACCCAACACACACATGCTGCGTCAGAAACCCCGCCAAGGCGCCCGACACGCACCGCGCAAACCTTCGCAAGACCCACACCCACATGCACATGCACATGCACATGCCATAACGGCCCCTCGATCACGGCCCCCTTAAATCCAGCTTTCCTCTCCCTCCCCCTCCCCTTCCCGTACCGTGTGGTTCGTCTTACCCCTTCCCGTCCCTTCCCCTCCCCCTCCCCCTCCCCCGCTTCCCCCACCGCAGGCTGTCAAGCTGGGTGCAACCATCGTCCCCTTCGCCGCCGTGGGTGCGGAGGAGGGTGTGGAGCTGCTTCTGGACCGCCGGGAGCTGCTGGGGTTGCCGGGACTGGGCGAGTGGCTCAGGGGGCAGCAGGAGGGAGTGACCAAGGTGAGGCGCGGGAAGGGGAGCAGGGGGAGGGATGCATGAAGGCGGAAGAGGTGGTGCGGGTGGCGGGTACGGGGGTGCGGGTTGAACAAGTCGGGGAGTGGCAGGTGACGGGTGGCCAAGGGGGATTATGTCGTACATAAGTACGTGTGCCTTGGTAATACGCGGTGTCTGCGGACGTGGCAGCATCCTAGATCCTTCTACGGCTGCTGTGTGCCCCCGCCTCACTCCTTGTACCCCTCCCCGCGCCTCCCTTCCCCCCCCTCCCTCCCCTCCCTCCCCTCCCCTCCCCCCCTTCCCTCCTTTCTGTATCCCAAAGGCCCGACGCGGCGTGTCGGTTTCGGAGGACGTGGAGGAATCCTTTATCCCCCCTTTGGTGGCCCCTAAGGCCCCCGCCCGCTTCTACTTCCGGTTCGCAGCTCCCATCCACACCGACCCACGGGACGCTGAGGACCGCCAAGCCATGTCTCAGCTGTACAACAGGGTACGGTCCGAGGTTGAGGGCTGTCTGGGCTACTTGTTGCGGAAGCGCGAGCAGGACCCGTATAAGGACCTGCTGCCCCGGCTGCTGTACGAGTCAAGCTGGGGAGGCAGGCGGCAGGCACCCACATTCAAACCATGAAGGAGGGGAAGATGGGCCAGGAAGATAAGAGAGGGGCAGAGCTAGAAAGGGCGGCGGGGCGGTGGGGTAGGTGGGGCAGGTGGAGGGTTTTGGAGCGCTTGCAAGAGTGTTAATGAGTCACACAGGGTAGGTGTGTAGAGGGGTTCGCAGGAGGCGGGATGAGATCGGTAGCGCTGTGGATGTGTGTCTGTGTGAAACAAGAGGAAGGAGAGTCACAGAGGACTGAGCTGCGGGTTTGCTGGTTTCGTTTAGTTGGCCGCTGCTGTTAGCTAGGGATAATTTTTTGTTGTTTGGTTCTGTACATGTGTGACAGTACTGGAAATCTAGATGGCGCCGGAAGAAGCCCGGTGCGAGTAAACAGGCTGAACAGAGGGTTGCAGAGATGGGGGATTGGGGGCAGGTACTGGTCAGGCGGGATGGGGAATAGGGTTGACGACGTCAGGATGGGATGTGGGGCTCAGGGTGAGGATTAGGGATTAGGCGTGCTACACTACTTTTGGGATGGGGATTGCTGTCGGGGGTGAGGATGGGGATGGGATCCCTGTCTGAGGGATGGGGATTGCAACCTTGACCAAGGAGGGGATTGGGAGCCCTGGCCAGGGATGGGGATGGGACCCTGGTCGACAGGACGGGGATTGCAGGCTTTCGCAAGTTTAGGATGAGGTCGCTGCCATAGGATTGGGAACACAGTTGGAGGATTAGAATTGGGTGTTCTGCTGTAAAATGAGGCTGCAGGTGCAGAACTTGGAATACTGACAGGACTGCAAAACAGGCCAAGGATGGATGGTTTAGTTGTCCATAGTTGCTTGCATGGAAACTCAAACAAACACAAGGAGGTTCTGCTTGCAAGTTGCGTCCCATAGCAAACCAAACTCAAACACAAGGAAGTCCTGCTTGCAAGTCGCGTCCCATAGCAAACCAAACTCAAACACAAGGAAGTCCTGCATATAAGGCGCGTCCCATAGCAAACCAAACTCAAACACAAGGAAGTCCTGCTTGCAAGTCGCGTCCCATAGCAAACCAAACTCAAACACAAGGAAGTCCTGCATATAAGGCGCGTCCCATAGCTAACCAAACTCAAACACAAGGAAGTCCTGCTTGCAAGTCGCTTCCCATAGCTAACCAAACTCAAACACAAGGAAGTCCTGCTCCGGCATCGGCCGACTGCCCGATGGGGTCCATCCCAAGCGTTTCCACGATGACTTCGGCCATGTCCCTGGCGAAGCCCAACCCCGTCAATTTTGCCAGCTTTTGACGCTTCTGCAGAAGGTTAACACCATTGGGAATAGAACAGGCATGGAACGCGACTTGGTGTAAATGTGAGAAACGTGCACCATTGGTGCCAGTTCTTCAGTCAGACGCAGTCCAACCCCGTTCTTACCTTGTCCGGCCCATGCACATCCACACACAGGGCACCATCGGATGCCATTCTGGAAGAGATAACAAACGGTCGTCGGACTGTTAATAGCTTGCGCTTAAGAAGGTGGGCGTCTTCCAAGACGAAGTTTGGGACACTTTGAATAAGACCCGAACGTAATCTGTATGCAATCTGCAGACCCTACTGGGGGACAAGTCCGCAGGAGGCGTATCAACATGCAAGACGTTATCAACAGCAAGCCGGTTTGGGGGTCCAAGTACAGCCTGTCACGCTGACTAGTTGGACAAGGCTGTATACTCTTCTGCGTGAAGGCATAATGACTTCTCCAGGAGAGCAGCAAGAATGAAGTCGCCACTGCGACCCAGTTGTACGACAGCACCACAGAACCAGCCTTAGAAGATCCGGTCGCTTCGCTCCGTCGCATCTAAGCCAACAAAACGTTATCAACAGCAAGCCGCTTTGGGGGTCCTGGCTCAAAGTGAGGCCCACCCTGGAGTTAGTTGTTAAGCTTTCATGTTACTTCCTCATACAAACTGCTTCTCTAGTACTGTGATGTTTTATTGGTTATATTCATGCAAACTGAGCTGAAGTTGCAAGGCGCGAAGATGCTGGCCGCATCATGCCGCACCGCATTCCCAAGCCAGTATGCACAACTCTGAGAAAGTTTGCAGTCTTTATTGTTTTGTTTTGTTGGCACAACTCCACGTAACTCTGCACATTATAGTGCATAGGAGCAATTCTTGCGCAGAAGTCCAAGTCGACTCANAAGCATTCCAATTGGACTGTCTGGCTTGATGTAATGTTATCAGGTTGTTTATCGTAGCGCTTTGGCGCACCCAACGTGGAGTGTTGGCGCCGGAATGTGCAGCTGAACTCCTGCGCTATGAACCTGAACCAATGGTGCACGTTCCCAGCCATGGACATTTTGACAGAACACCCTT